ATTGGAGGGATTCCTGTTCATTGGATTTTGGTCGACACGGGAGCTTATTCAAGTATTTTGATGCTCCGCACTTTCAAGAAATTGGGTTTGGACCCAGCAGACATTAGGCCTTGCAACGACCAAATTCAAGGTTTCAATGGAAGCATTTCCTGCCCTGTCGGCGAAATACTGCTCCCTATTCGGTTTGGTGGCTTTAGACCAAAATCCAAGATTATTATGGAGACTTTCAAAAGTCTTGGATGTCCAGAATGAATATAATGCTGTTATAGGACGAACTGCACTGTATAAACTTCGTGCTGTTGTGTCAATTTTCCATTATGCCCTGAAGTTCCCCACCATCGAAGGAGAAGGCACTCACTATGGAGATCAACGAGAAGCCCGAAGTTTGATGTTTCTCTCAACCTCGCGTAACTTTCATATGATTGAAGAGCAAGATACTGATAACTCTATTGGGTTGAACAACCCAACTCTTAATGCTGAAAGAACCGATCAGTTCGCTTCTAATACTGACATTCCCCTTGCAGATACCGATGTCCCTATGACGTCGGTTTTGTCCGAAACATTAACTCAAGCTCTTGATCAAGAGCAACCTTTTCATGAGAAAGACATAAGAATACACGAAGATATGGATCCACGGATGCAGTTTAAAGATGAGAGTCATCATGTCCGGGCGGAACCAGTTGAAGATGTCGAAACTATTTACGTGGATGGATTGACTCAGGAAAAATCATTGCGCATTGGAGCTAACCTTCAAGAACCCACGCGGTCGAGCTTAATTCAGTTTCTTCAGTCAAACTCCGATGTGTTCGCTCGGAAGCATGAAGACATGAAAGGAATTGACCCGCAGAAAGCGTGTCATCGCTTGAATTTAGACAAGACTGTCAAGCTTGTCATACAGAAACGTCAAAAATTCGGCCTAGATCGCCAGAAGCCCCTTGAAGAGGAAGTAAACAAGCTTATAGACAATAAGTTCGTCAAAGAAGCCAAATACCCGACGTGGATATCGAATCCTGTCTTGGTCAAGAAAGCCACCGACCTTTGGCGTCCGTGCATAGATTTTTCAGATTTGAACCAAGCGTGCCCGAAAGATAGCTACCCCATTCCACACATTGATTACATGGTAGATGCCACATCGGGACATCAACTCATGAGTTTCTTGGATGCCTATTCCGGCTATAATCAAATTCCCATGCACCCTGATGATGCTGAACATACATCGTTCTACTCAGCCCGAGGTCTTTATTGCTATGTCATGATGACTTTTGAATTGAAGAATGCATGGGCCACGTACCAAAGGTTGGTCAATAAGATGTTTGCTCGTTTGATCGGTCACACGATGGAAGTTTACGTGGACGACATGTTAGTGAAATCAGAACAGGCCTCTGATCACATCACCCATCTTTCCGAGGTCTTTGACATTCTCCGAGAGTATTCTATGGTGCTTAATCCTAAAAAGTGTACTTTTGGAGTTGGATGAGGGAAGTTTTTAGGATACATGGTGAGTCAGAGAGGGATCGAAGCCAATCCTGCCAAGATTCAAGCCATACTTGACTTGGCTCCCCCGACGTCTATTAAGGGTGTCCAAGCTTTAACTGGTCGACTGGCAGCTCTAAATCGATTCATTTCAAAGTCGACAGATCATTGCAAGCCGTTCTTTGACGCTACCAAAAAGAAGAAGTCGTTCGAAT